AACTACATCAGTAATTCGGCCCAGAGCAATGGGGCGGTGGTGAAAGAAAAGGCCCAAGCCGCCCCCAAGACGCCCAGCAAGGCCAAGAAGAACAAAGACAAGGAGTATTATGTCTGAGCCCCTGGCACGGCACCCACTGCCAGCCGCCCCTCCCAGGAGGGCCCAGGAGGAGGGTGCGGTCCTCTCCCTGCCGGGGCCTGGGGACCCTCTCTCTGGCTGCCTCAGGCTTCTCTCACGAAGAGGAAACGCAAAAAAAGAAAAGGAAAAACCCCGTGCTCGCCCCCTTCCTCCTGCCTTCCGCAGGCGGCCTCTCAGTCCTGGGGCTGGCTGTCCCTCAGCTCTGCACCCGCCAGGCAGGGCACGTGCTCACAGCCCTGGGTTGATTTATTTTTTTAAGGGGGGTAGTTTTATTTTGGTGGGGTTGGGCGGGAAGGAAGGCTGGGTGTTTTGTAAAAGTGTCCAATATTCGTCCTGTTAATTTTCCTCGATTTTTCTTCTTCCTCCCTCTGTCCCTCCTGCCTTCCTTCTCTACCCAAGCCCTCCAGTCCCCATCCCAGGCTTGCTGTGTCTGTCCCTACCCTCCTTCCCCACTTCTCCTTTTTTGTGTGTCTGTTTTCTCCCTTCCTTTCCTCTCTTTGGGTTTCCAGAGTTGGTGGGAGAAGGGCGGGAGGGTGGGCCAAGTGGCCCAGTGGGTGTTCAAGGCGTGTGGGGGCAGGGGACTGTCCCCAGTGTCCCAACACTGCCTGGTGCTGCCCAGGGAAGGGGCTTGGGCCTGGCTGAAGGCCTGCTCTGTGTGTGCTGCCGGGCGACGTGCATTGATGGGGAAGCTGCTGGAGGAGCAGGGGTGGGGGGCGGGGGGTGGGAAAGGCAAATGCAGATATATATTAAAGACAAATACTCTAGATACCACGAGCAGCAGCCTGTGGCACCCCTTGGGCGCGGGCAGCAGGGAAGAGGAGTGAGGCGTTGTCCGCGGACTGCTGGGGTCATTCTCTGCCCACGGGCTCCCTGCTCCCCCAGTTTTTTTCTCTCTTTGTTAACAAATGTGTCTGAGTCTTGGAAAACACCCCAACCCCGGAAATGTGTGGGAAAAAGAAAACAAAAACTTTCCAAATTCCAACGGTCCTGTGCAGTTTTTGGGGGGTGGGTGCTCTAAGGTCCTGGCTTTGGGCTGGGGTCTAGACCTAAATTGGAGTCCATGAGAGCTGGTAAGTCACCCTCAGACCACTGGGCTGAATATGGCTTTGAGCTCTTGGGATGGCCTGTCTTTGTCTCACCCTGTTCCTCTGCTGGGCGGAGGACAGGGACAGGAAACATGGCTGATCTTTGGTCTGGTTCCACAGACCTTCGCTTCTCTGGAAGGCAGACAGTTCCCGATTCCTGAGGCTTCATGTTGCCCCTTGGTGGCTAGAAAGAGCCCACTCCTCTGGGGCAATGTGTACCTAATCCTTTCAACAGCCCTTGGAGAAGGGAGTGATTCCTGGGTGATTGCTAGGTTCCGAGAGCTTCTGAGGCTGGTCCCAGGTCTTAAGGCCAATCAATCAATGGCTGAGTCCAAGGGGCCTTCAGTTCTCCCTGACTCCAGGGTCTCTGTTCCTTCCCCTGTGCCTTTAGGGATTTTGGACCTTGGAATCTTCCCTACTCCCAAATCCGCTCTGTTTGGCTGTGGGTAGCTACTGGAACTGAAGCTGGAAACAGAGCTGGCCACCTCATCCACAGTGTTAACTCCTTCATGGAGACCTGGACAGGTCCCTGGTCCCAGACACATTAACAAATTAGTCTGTGTTTATTAAGCTCCTCAGCTGTAAGAACAGAGACCCACGTGTGCAGTGTTGCCAGAAGCAGAAAGTGAGGGTGGGTCTGGGTCTCGGGTGGGTTTTCATGCCTCTAGACACATGAGATGTGACTTAGCCACATGGTGTTACTCAGGGCTTCTGTCTGGATTCATCTGTCCTCCCCCTTCTCATCTCTCAGGCCTCCCCACCTGGCTCTGCTGCTTACGCCCCTGGCTCACTGTCACCCTGGCCCCCTGGCCTGCCCAATTCTATGTCATTATCTTTCATCCGTAGGTGACTCGATGCTGCCAGCTTGTTCTCGAGACATTTTCCTGTTCTAAAGCCTGGTCTACCTTTAAACCCAGACCCCTTGATGCCTGCAAGAGCCCCACCATTCAGCTGGGGGATGTCCCTTGGTGGAAGCAGCAGGTACCAATCTCCAGAGGGCCCAAGTTGGCCTCCTTTCTCTCTCTTCCTGCCCTGCATTCTGGAAGGAAAGCTTTGTCTTCAGACCCTCCCCACCATGGTGTCTTCTAGGATCTCTTGAGGTTCTTCCCCAAAGTCCTCTCAAGTGTGAGAACTGGTCCTCCCCTGCCCAACTCCAGATGTAGCTTTCTGTGGACTCAGTCCCTCCTTGCCCTCCTGAACCAGTCCTAGGGTGAGGCTTAGGCCCTGCCTGTCCCCCAACTGCTCACAGTCACCAAAGTCAGCTCTAAGCTCCTGTGGGAGTCTGGGAGAGGCCCTAACTTGGGGCAATCTTGCCAGAATGTCCTGAGGATGGGGACCCCTGGGGTCCTCTGCTGCTGTTCTCTGCCCAAGGGGGAGACATCTCAGGTTCCCTTCTTCCCACCACCACTAGGCAAAGAAAACAAAGATAGGTAGGCAGGAGCTCCTTGGTATCAGGGATAGAAGGAACATCCCTACTCCACAAATTTCTAGAATGGCTCTGAACGGGGTAGGGGGCAGTCTATCAGGGTAGAGGGGCAGAAAGATGGACAGTCCAGGAGTTGGAAGGAGAGGCCTCAGTCTGGCCGTATAACTGTTGGACTTGGTCTTTGTCTCTGCTCCTATCTCAAGGGCTTGCTTGTAAGTGGAAAGATCCATAGACCTGGCCATTGACTCAGTTTACTTATCTGTAAGAAACGGTCATCCTAGTCTTGGTTTCATCATCTTATGCTTCTGATGTTGAACTTAGCATCTTGGCTTGATCTGAGCTCCTCAGGGTCCGGCTAGCCTGGCAGTGACCCCAGGAGAGTCCCAGCAGCACCTGGGAGTGGCTGAGATTCTGGCACCCTGGCTCCTTGCCAGGTGGTCCTTGCAGGGTATGATAGGGGTTATCAGGGACAGGGGTTTAGGGAAGAAGTTCACAAACCTACCCTGGCCACAAAAAGCCAGCCAGTGTGGGGCTCTTGGTGGCAGCTACCCTCCTGGAGGCTGTATAGAGCTGAGGGGCCTGGTTCTGTCCCCTCCTCACATGTCCCTCTCTGTGAGCTTTCGAGCTTGGCTGGAGGCAGGAGAATGGACAAAGTGGGTCCCAAGACACTTTCCCCATCCTTAGTGCTCAATGCCTCTGTGACCATGGGGTGAGACAATGGGGCAGTTATGGGCTTTTCTTTTCCTCACCTGGTGTTCTCAGCTCTTTCACTGTGAGGTGCCCCAGCAGCTTCTGAGGTTGGGAGCCCCTGTAGTGCATACTGAGACAGAAGGTGTGTCCCAAGTGAAGGCCTGCCATTGTGTTGGGCAGCACCCCTGATGAGGCCTGTGACTGCTGAGAGAGCCCTCTTCTTGCTTTGCAGGGACCCACTCTGCCCAGTGATGCTCTCACTCCCAGGAGGGGACAGGGCTGGAGGCCTTCCCAGCCTCCAGGTCCTGTTGGCCTAATTGAGGGGTGACTTGTTGAAGCCCTTAAGTCCAGGTGGCACCTGTAGCTCAGTGAGTAGGGCACTGGTCCCTTATACTGAGGGTGGTGGGTTTAAACCCGGCCCTGGCCAAACTACAACAAAAAATAGCCAGGCATTGCGTCAGACACCTGTAGTCCCAGCTACTCAGGAGGCTGAGGCAGGAGAATCGCCTATGCCCTAGAGCTGGAGACTGCTGTGAGCTGTGACGCCAGAGCACTCTACTGAGGGTGACAAAGTGAAACTCTGCCTCTTAAAAAAAAAATAAGCCATTAAGCCTTAGGTCCTGGAAAGACTGGGAGCAATGCCTCTCAGAATGTGGACATCCCTGACTCACTAGGTGAACTGGAGGGCTACCCTGGGGGACAGGGGAGCCATCCCATACCGGCCCTGGCTTCTGCCTTCTGGAAGCTTCTGGACACCCTGGAGCCCCCAGAATGCTGAGGAAGAGTAAGAAAGGCCCAGGGTTTCGGCCAGGCAGCAGATAGACAAAAGATAGGAACTGCAGGGCAGGGCAGGACATCCTCATTTTTAGACACTTTACAAAAAAAAAAAAAGACAAGAAAAAGAAAATCCCCTTTGCTGCCTCTTTGCCCTGAAGGTCTTGGGGTGGTCATAAGCCGACAGCCAAAGGATATGACTCCACAGAGGCTCACAAGACCAGGCCAGGGAGTGGTCCCCATCTTGTGGGGACAAGGAGCTGTGTGTGCATGTCACTGGTTGGGGGTGCACGGCCCTGGGCTCAGTTGCCTGGAAGGAGTGACACAGGCAAGGTGAACCCAGGAACCATCTGAGCATGTCCACAGGTGGCTCCTAGCTGCTTCCATGTCTCTGCTGCACTGCGCTGTGTTTCGTGTGAGTGGGGCCAGTGGGCCCCATGGGATCTGGCTCAGTCTGAGAGGAATGAGGCCCTGACACTGTTCTAAGGACCATCACTGGACACCTGGGTTATGAGGCTGGGTGAGGGGGAGGATGGGGGTCTTGCAACCAGAGTTGGGCTCTGGAGACCTACTGACTAGAGTTGGACTCCTGATACCTCCTAGCTGTGTATCACAGACAATCTGTGTCTCCAAGTCTCAGTTTTTCATCTATAAAATGGGGCACCATCTACCTCATGGGGTTCAGGAAAAGATGAAATGAGATGATGTTTTGAGGTCCCCAGCACAGTGCCTGGCTCGCCACAAGGGCTGGAAACAGCAGCACCTGCAGCCTGGCATGGGGCAGGAAACTGGCTTGGGAACAGCCCACCCTGGCAAGGAGGCCCTGCACTTTCCTCCTTCCCTAGACCCTGGCAGGTACCAGGTGCTCATCACTGGTATGGCAGGAGTCTTGGGGGGTTCCTTTATTCGCTCTTTATTCCATCCTCACACCAGTGCACCTCCAGCCTTGTCCTAGGTGGGAGCAGGGACATAGGATATTGGGACCACTTCACCCCTCTGGGAACTTGCAGGCTGGCAGGGTGATCATGGTGCAGCAGTGACTGTGAGTGAGAGTTTCATCATTACCTCCAGCCTGGCCCTGGACCCCTGAAGGTGGGTCACTGTCCTGGGTATCGGAGGCTGAGTGGAGTTTGTTGGGTGTGAGGACTATGTTAAGGGCATAGCGGGCGTATGGCTGGGGTGTGCACAGGAGTGGGGAGGGGCCAGAGCAGCCAAGATGGGCTGCCAAAGGCCTCCATGTGAACCTGAGGAGCTGAGACCACTGCTGTTGTGGAGTCAAGGGAGGTCTTGGCCACGGGTGATGGTCAGCTCCCAGCTTCATGCAGGTGGATGGGTGGACAGTGGGCAGTGAGAAGCATGTTGTGAACAGGGCCAGCCCTTCTCTTGGTTTTGGCCTCTGTCCCTTTCCCAGCTACCAGAGAGGGTTGGAGTGATGGGTACATCCTGTCAACCAAACTGCTCTCTGCCCCTTGGGTGTTGAAGATGGCTCCTCATACAATGGGAGGGGCAGGGCTCGGCTGGAGGGGATAGCTGGTTGGGAGAGTGAGGGCCCCAGAGGACAGCCCCTGGAAACGAGGCTTTTGTTCTCCCTCTGCCCTCTCCAGAGGATAGAAGTCTCTTCTTCTTCTTCCTACACCTCTTCCTCCTCTCCTCCAAGCCATAGTGGGCTTCCAGGAAGCTAGAGCCGTGTAGAGTGCAGGACAGTGTGCCCCTGTGAACTTTGCGTGGCCTTCTTTACTGCCCTGTTAAGGAAGTGCATGGAGTTACCTCTTAGGGCGCAGAGTGACCCTGACCCTTTCCCTGTGCCCATCCTGAGGATTCAGGCTCTTGGAGCCCCAAGACTCGGCTCTCGGAACATGGTAGGGGTCGGGTAGGCAGTGAGAGCTAACTTTTGTGGTAGAGTCTGGGGCTGGTGAGGGCCCCTGACAATGGCCACCACATCCCAATGGCCCACCATCTCCCTCACAAAAGGCTACACACTCCCTTCCTCTTGGCTATTTGGAAGTGGACCTGTGCATAGCTGGGCCATCTGTGCCTCTAATGGTGGAATGAAGGGCAGAGGACAAAGCCCATACAATAAGTCAAAGACCCAGCCCTAAGTCTCCCTCCTCTCAAAGATGTGTAACACTGGGTCAGTCCTACCCTTCTCTGGGCCCCTGCTGCCCCCTCTGCCAACTGATGAGGGTGGGTGGCAGGCTGCCTTAGAGGGAGGGACAAAGGGTAATCCCAGGCTTGGTAATCCACTCACTGGTTCTGCAGGTCTTCGATGGTGTCAGGGAGCGGCAGGTTCCGGGTCTCAGGCAACAGCAGTGCGGCCAGGCCAATCAGCACTGGTACTGTCCCATATATCAGCAGGGGCAGTGCGGGCCTGTGTGTCCCCAGCAGCCGGACCAGAGGCCCCAGGCAGCTTCCCCCACGGGCTGCCATCTGGCCCAGGCCCACTGCCCTCATCCTGCAGGCACAGATGTGCCTGTGAGTGCGGGCTCTGCTTCCCCATGGCCTTGACCCTCCCACCTTGGCCCTAAGAGGCCTACAGGGTCAGGCTGGGTGGGGACACACCTGAGTGGCCCTGAGACCACAGGGGAAGATGCATGACATGACCATTGGATCTGAGGGAAGACACCCTTCCTGGCCCCCAATCCTAGGGCACCCCTCTCCTGGGGCCCAGGTACGGTCTCACCTGAGCACTGTAGGGAAGAGCTCGCCACAGTAGATGGTGATACAAGTAAAGGCAGTCCCCATGCAGCCCAGCCCCAGAATTGCCAGGGCTGAACGTAAAGCCCCCAGCTCTGCGGACAGGCACAGGGTTAGTGCAACAGTGGGGTCCAGGGCTGGACAGGGGCTTCAGCCCAGTGGCTTCTCGCTGAGTATTGTGAGTCACCTCCACCTGGGTATCCCAGATTACCCTGTCCTAAGTGACCTCATGCCCCCCCATCTGCTCCCACCAGGCCCCCAGACCCAGACCCTGCAAGTCATCCTCAACCCAGTCTCCTTCCCTGCAATCCATCCCTCAGAACTCAGCTGATTTCCACACCCTTTCCCACTGTCCTGTGCACTCTGACCCACTGACCTCTCCCTACCACTCCCAGTAGACTCCTTCCTAACTGGGCCCTGCTATAGTCCAGCCCCTGCCCGAGGTCTTGGCTCCAGCTCCGGCCCCCCACGTAGGGAAGCCTTGGGCTGGGCACTTGCTCACCATGGGGCACCAGCACGTTGCCCAGGATGCAGAGCCCTGACAGCATCAGGGACAGAGCCTGCAAGGGGCGGCGTCCCAGGCAGCCCAACAGCAGCAGGGAACCGATCTTGGCTGGGATATCCACCACCCCCACGAGCCCCTGGAGCAGGAAGATGTTGCTGCCCAGGCCCTGCATGTCCATGACTAGGCCATAGAAGGTGAAGCCAAAGGCGAACCTGGGGATGGTGGTCAGGGGTCAGTGTGGGGCGTGGGCTGCTTGCTTGGTGTTTCTTCTCAGATCGGTGTCTGGCCCTTCTGCTGCTGGCTCTATGTGGGGGGGAGATTCTTCCCCTACCACCCCCTACATTGATGTGGTTTCCCATTGAGTTTGGTTGATGGGAGCTGTGGAGAAGTCAGGGTGTTCTCTCCCTCTCTGTTTGGGGACTTTGTCTGGGAGTGACTGTGTCCCTTCCATGGCTTCTGCTGTCACAGAACAGGCCCTCCATCCATGGTCTTTGGGGAGGGGGTATTGGGCCCTGGGCTCTGATAACTCTTTCCCTCCTCCTGTCCCTCTGACCGGAGGGGATGTGCCTTCCTGAGATGCTGTTCTTTGTGTCACCCCACTGTCCTCTCCCACTTATTTAAGCCTGGGTGCTGTCTCCTATCTGGGTGTGACTGATGGGAGAAATGACTGCTGAGGCCTCCTTGAGAGGTGCTTTCAGGCTGGTGGGATCAGCAAAGGCCTAGGCCCTACAGCCGGTGCCTGGCTCCAGGTCCCCTGCTGCTGGCAGCCCGGGGCTGGGGCTTGGGTGGGGGTGGTGAGGGGTGGTTACCAGCACAGTGTGGAGAGGCAGGTCCGCAGGCGCAATTCTGGTGTGTGCAGCAGGCTGCCCAGACTGGAAGGAGCCTGGTTCATGCTCAGGTCCTCCTGCATGGCTGACAGCAAGACCTGTAGAGTGGGGTGGCTATTGGCACTGGGGGTGCCAGGCAGGTCCTCCTCCCCTAGACCATATTCCCAGGGGGACCTGAGGGTTCAAGGGGCCAGGCCTTGGGGAGGGCCTAGCCCTGCCTCACGTCAATGGTCAGGGTGTCCCCTGCTGTCCTCTTTCCATTGATGGCAGCCACCCTCTGTAGCTCATGCAGGCCACGCTCAAGCCTGCCAGTGGTGAGGAGCCATCGTGCTGACTCTGGCAGCCACCTGCAGTGGAGAGGGCATAGGATGGCCACTGTCTGTGGCCCCAGGAGCCTGGCCTACTCCTGCCTTACTGCCTTCTGTCCCTTCTGCCCACAGGGGTGGCCTCCCTGGTGTCCACAGGCTCCAGGCTCATGGTGGCTGAGGACTGTGGACAGGCAATGAAGGGCACTGTGGCTTGTGGCAGCCACCCTGTTGTCCCCTTCTACCTTCCTCCCAAGACCACAGTTCTTGGCCTGCCTTACCAGGAACCAGGCCTGCAGCCCAGTAAGAACCCCCAAGGGCTGTAGGACCTTGGTCTATGAGGCCACCAGGGTTCCCCACTGTCCTGGTATCTCCCATGTCATATGGTCCTTCTGTCCAAATTTTCCTGTTGCAAATAGCTCCACACCCCCTGGGGCTTGGGCTGGGAGCAGGGTCTCTGACATCACCATCTCCCTCCGTGTGTACCCAGCCAGCCACCAATTCCCATCCCTTCATGCATTCCTGTGCACCCCTCATGGCTGAGCCTCACACATCCCACCCCCTCTGCTCTCTGTGGCAGGACCCAGCCCCTGGCACCAACCTGGCATCATCACCCTCAGCATCTCTCCCAGCCCCTGTCCAGAGTGCTAGCTCCACAGTACCCCCTACTCTGCACTGCATCTGCTTTTAGGCCTTTGTACATGAAAGTCCCCAGCCAGACATACTGTCCCCAGGGAGCCCCTGGGAGGGGCTACCGGCTTCATGTCCACCAGGGCCCTGAGCCCCTTTGGAACTTGCAGAACAGGGTGCTAGTATCAGTGTAGGAGAACTAGAGGGGTCCCCCTGAATTTGCATTGCTGACCTTTGCCCTCCATCCTCTATAGTCTTGTTACCAGAGGCCCCTGGCAGGCGTGATGGCCTCTCTGCAGAGCCACTGCCTGAAATGTGCTCACCTCCTGCTCTGAGGAGTGACTGTACTTTAATTATTACTCCTTGCCAGCTGCTGGTGTGGGAGAAGTTTGTGAAGTCAGCCCTCCTACTAGTGTGGCTATAGGCACCTGCCCTCCACTGGGTCTCTGTTGTGCTCCTTTCTGCGGTGGCCACGATGGCCAAACGATGACTAAGTGCAGGGCTTGTACATGAATGAGCCAGGATCAGCCAGCTATTTGTTGGATGGATGGATCCAACTCACTCATCCAGCCATTCATCCATCCATCTGGCTATCCACCCAATAAATACTATAGCTTTATGTGCCCACCCTGTGCCTGGGGCTTGGGAAGCGTCCTGCTTGATTATTTTGGAGCAATGCAGGCACTTCCCAGCCTCCCATACCTGCCAGCCTGTGTGGGGACTCTGGAGTCTGCTCTGATGACTGGGTCCTGTTCCCTGTCCTCTAGCAGACAGACATATGCGTAAATAATGTCAGTCTATGAGGCAGACTGGGGCTGTGCCCCATGTGTGTGTATGTGTTGTATCTTTATATTCCCCCAGACTGGACTGATGCTGCCATGCTTGGCATGGAGGAGGGGCTCAAGACACGAACCTGGCAGCATGGATGCCAACACAGGCAGACAGAGGAGAGAGGAACAGGCTGGGAGGTGACAGGAAAGGGGAGTGAAGGAGAAGGCTGAGTAGGAGGGCCCTGAGTGGGCTGGCTGAGCACTGTGCCCATGTACTTCTGGCCTACGGTATCCCCAGCCCTCTGTCCCAGGGAAAGGATAGTCTCCCATTCTTCTAGGTAGAGAGTGAGCAGGGTCTTCTCTGAGGTGGGGCATGGGGCACCCACCATGAATACACAAAGCAGAGGAATGAGGGGGCTGAGATTAACAGCTGCAGCAGGTTCCAGTCTCGCACACCGTAGGCCACTGCAGTTACCAGGACCTGGCCAAAGCTGAAGCCCAGAGCATTCAAGGTCATCACCAAGACTCGGGCCTGCGCTGACGTCCACTCTATCACTGCAAGAAGACTGAATGGGTTAGCTCTGGAACCGGCATAGAGGCCCCCCACCTCCACATGGCAGCAGGTCAGGGACCTACAGAGAGTGGCCGTGTTCATCATGACACCCACGAGGGCACAGGCCAGCAGGAACCGTAACAGGCAGTACACGGGAAAGGTGGGGGCGAAGGCTGTCGCAGTGCTCAACACAGCCATCTGAAGGTAGCTCCAGGTCAGCACCAGCTTGCGCCCAAACCTGTGGCACACAGCAGGAGGGGGTGGGGTTTGTGGCATCTTCCGTGGACCACTGAGAACCTGCTTGCCCGCTGAGCTAAAGTGGGTACTGAAGGCCTCCCAGGGCCAGACCCACATTCTCCACCTAAGGAAGACTCACAAGCTTAAGGAGGTCAGAGCCCAGGGAGTGCTCAGTGGGCCCAAGTCTCTGTCACCAGGGGCTCTCAAGCAGCAGCTAAAGGCGGGATTTAGTGGCAAATGTTTGACTTGGTGAACCCCAGGCTCAGAGAGGGTATGAGACTTGTTTAGGCAGCACAAGCACAGGGTGGCAGGTCAAAAGCCCACACCTGGCAAGTAGAGAACTTTTTAGACCTGGCTGTGAGAGGCCAGATTGGGGTCAATTAGGGCCAGAGGCCTCAGAGAGCAGGGGCAGTGAGGGAATGGGGGCCTGCCCCAGACCCCCGGTACTGACCTGTCTGAGGCAGGGCCATACACAGCAGCTCCCACCAGCATCCCAGCCAGGTAGATGAATTGGGCCATGGGCTTCAGAGCCTGAGAGTCACACACTAGGTCCCACTGGTGGGAGAGGAGGAGGACTGAGCTCATGAGGATGGGGCTGCCCTGGTGAGGGACAGGGGAGATGGATAGGAGGCCCCCAGGGAATTGGGCATGGGTGGCTGGCCTGGTGACTTCTAGGTGACTTAGAGTAGGGTCCCATGGAATAGTGATGACACCCACAGGTGTAGCATCCTGCCACCCCTTGCCTAAGGCCTATCACCCAGTGGGTCTATAGCCTCACTTGCCCCCTTCCCCTTCTCTGTGGTGGCCACCTGAGCTGACACTCCTGGCTCCTCCCCCAGAGACTGCTTCTTTCCTGCTCTTTACAAAGAGGCCCCTCCCTCTGGCCTTGACTGATGTCCATCTGGGAAGCAGCCTGGGACTGCCCTGTACCCAGTAAGTTTTGGCCTTGGAAAATCCAGTGAATGGTTACTGAGTCCCCTTGTGACTGATTTGCCTGGAGTCACAGCTGAAAAATGCCCAGGGCCTGGACTGGGTGAGGCCAGAGAGACATCCAGGTGCCCATGTCCAGAGGTGCCCAGTCAGGTGCCCCTGGCACTTCCAGGAGCCTGGGAACCAATCCTTGCCTATAGACTGATTTCTGTCACTGGGTCTCCAAGAGGACCATGTGGACACGGAGGGGCTAAAAGCTGGCCAAGAGTGAGGGGGCTCTGGGGAGGCATGTCCCTCACAGGACAGGACCATTTTGTGTCCAGTCAACTATGATCTGTGACCCTGAGCTCTAAGGTGCCAGGACTGGAATGGGTGGGGGAAGGGGAGGCCCTCACCTTGGTCACGATGGTGGAGGTGAAGGTGCTGTGGTCATAGACCCAGCCGTCCAGGCATGGCTCCGTGGCTGCCTCGCTCCAGTTGGTGGCCGTGGTGTTGGTGTTCAGGAGCTGCCACTGGGGTTGGCGGAAGCGACGACACCTGTGGGGCTCGTTGTTGGGGCCAGGTGGGATGGAGATGGTCAGAAGAGTCCCAGGGTCCAGGACCTTGGGGACGCTGACCTGGGCTGTGTTGTTGTCCAGGAGGGACACCCAGCAGCGGTGGCTGGGCACGGTGGCTGAGAAGTTCTCTATCATGCTGTGAGAAGTGACCCACAGAATGGGGGCCACCAGAGCCACCGTCTGGAGAGCCTGGAACCTGCCCAGGCCACCCACTATGTCTAAGAGTTCAGAAAATGCCATGGAGCCTGGCCAAGGGGCCCAGAGGTGGTGCCCACTTCACAGAGGCTGGCCCCGGGCAAAGGAGTTGATGCAAGGACTGGCTTGCCCCACAGGGTGCCCACAGCAGTTGCTCCCGCTGGGTGGCTGGTAGCATGTCAGAGACCGCCGGCTTTGCTGACTTGGGGCTTTCCAGGCATCTGTTCACTGGCTGTCACTCGGGACAAATCCAACTGAGACTTGTGGAGTGATCCGGAGGCCACCAACATCTCCCCAGAGACACAGCTGCTCCAAACCTCCAGGAAAAGCTAAATTTGGAAAGTGAAGAATGTGGAGATTGAAGTCACTCGAACTGGAATTAAAGTGTGACCAGGTAACACTTACGGAATAGGGTTTAGTAATCATTTCCTCGGTCAAAGTTTAACTCGGCCTTGAGGGAGGCATGGTTCAAAACCACAGTAACTTCTCTGGCCTTCTGGGGGTGGCACCAGCCTTGGTCTTTGACAGGCTGGTGGAGGAGGGGTTGCTGGGCTGTGCCTGCCCACCCACCCCTCCTAGTCAGCACCTGCCCTCCTCACAGGATGGCTGATCCAGGCTGGAGACTCTCCTGATCTGGTGCTGGGGCAGCTGTGTGGGCCTCTGTGTGTGGCCAGTGTCAGCGGCAGCCATCCCAGTCCCCAGGCCTCTCAGACTGTAGCCCATCACTGACTTGCTTCTACTCACCTGCTGTGGTTGGTGCCTGACCCATTCCCCCTCTGCGGCTACTCTTTCCTGAGCTCTATGGAGCTTCCCAAGGTCACCGGGCACCCTGCAGACTCCCCAAGCTCAGTGTGCCTAAAGCTGCCCAGACTCCCCAAGCTCAGTGTACCTAAAGCTGCCCGGGGTTCCCTGCCCCTCCCCAAATCTACTCCTCCACGGCTGTGGCCTCCTGTTTCAGGTCACTATACCGGCTCAGGTATTTGGCTCATTTGCCTCTAAGGTTTCCTCTTTCCACCTCTCCTGGGTGTCATCTTCCTGGGCTTCCTGCCTTGACACTGCAAACCATCAGGCTAGTTCCTGCTTAAAACTCAGGGGGGGTCCCAGTCAATAATAGCACACATACTTACAGGGTAGGGGGCTGGGAGCATTATGTGCTGGGGGTCAGGAAGGGCTGGACCAGGACAGAGACAGCACCCTTTGGTTAGGACAATTAATTCTCCAGGCTAAAGAGCTAGAGAATACGAAACAGCCAAAAAAATGTATGTATACCTGTGTACACAGGTGTGTGCACATGTGTTCACATACGTGTGCATGTGAGTGTGGGTACAAGTGTGCAATGCAGCAACCATTTATTCTCATATGCTTTGGGCACAAGACTGTCCATTTGAGGAAAAGCTCCCTTCCCAAATGCTTCTTTTTGCCTTACCTACCCTTCCCTCTGCCCCTCCACATAGCCCACCAAGCACAGACTCTTACCCTCCTTGGACCGTGAACTCAACTCATCAACAGCTTCCCTCTACGTGCCCTGTGGTGGCTTGCTGGGGCCCTATCCGTGCTCATAGCTTGAACAGTGTCTCCAGGTCCACATTTGGGCCATATCCTGCATAGACTACAAGTTCCTCCAGGGAGCTCTCCTTGCTTATTCCTGCCTATACTTAAGGCTTAGCGTATCAGTGGGTCCCCATTTTCACCCTGTCCTTGCCAGTTCCCGGCAAGTAAGGGACCCCTTCTTTAGAGTTTCTTTGGAACCCAAAACTGATTGGGACAACAAATATAAGCTCCATGACTATTTGCTGAAGTGCATGAGAGGTTTTTAAAAACTTTTTTCACTTTTTCCTGATTATAAAATTAATTTACATACCTCCCCCCAAGCTTAGAACATGTTTAAAGGTATAACCAGGATAAAGATCACTCTTAAATTCACCAACCATTAATCATTATGTTTACCCTTTGGTATAAAGATATCCAGACTTAGTTTTAGTAACTGAGATGTTCAGCTTCATTAGTCTGGGCTACTAAATGAGCTTAACATCTCCTTTTGTAAAAACCAAAAGGAAAGCCTCTGACTATTAATTAGATGGTATTAACCTATTCATATTTACTGTGATTACTGACATATTTGGACTTACGATGTATTTTCTTGTTTACCATATTTTGTCTTTAAACCTTTATTTCCTTGTCCCTATTTTCTACTGAATCTATTGAGTTTTTTTGTTCTGTTTTTCCTCTGTCTTGCTTTGTCAGTTATATGTTTTATTTCTGTTATTCTTAAATTTGAACACACAAAGTAGGAGCTATTTTATGCCATTTCCTCTCTCCAAACCTGCTTCCTTCTTCCTTATCCTTTCTCTCAATAGATGGTCTTCTTTCTTATTTGGCTAAGTAAACAGAAGCCATCGGAAGCCAACAGTCTAATTCTCTCACCAGCCCACCTGGCTCAGAGCCCCCATTCCGCCTTCCCTCTGCCCTGTCTGTGCTCTCTCTCACCCACACCAACCTCACTGTGTGCCCTCACTGTGTGAAGGGGCCACTCCCTTCACCTGCTCATGTCTCTCTTCTCTCTCTGCCATTCGACTCTACTGGATAATACTCATCAATGTACAAATATACCATTTTTTCCTCTCCAGTCCTCTCTGTGAATCCCTTTTCCCTCTTCAGCTATTGCCTACCTTTTTGGCTTCTGTTTACAGCAAGATTCTACGAAAGTATTATTGAAACTTATCTCCAATGTCTCTCTTCTCATTCTTTATGGGATTCATTCCAACAAAATTTTTGCCCCTGTCATGCTGTCACCAATGGCTTGCACACTTCTAGATTCAGTGACATTTTCAGTGCTCATCTCACTTAAGGCCATCAGTCTCTGATCCTTCTTGCTGTGAAGATACTTTCTTCCCTGGGCCTCTGGGACACTCCTGGCTCTCCTGTCTCCTTGGTGGGTTTCTTCTCCTCTCCCCACACTTTTAACAGTGGGTGCCACAGGGCTCAGTCTGGGTCTTCTCTTTCTATCTTGTCTGTCATCTGGCCCAGTCACATCTTCATCCTGAACCTCTTCTTAGAGGTAGACTTTTAATTCAACTGCCTGATGTTATGTGCCCAGAGAACATCTCACTCTTAGCTTGGCCACAGGCGAGCGCCCCAAGTGTGCTTCTCTTCCGGTAATCCCCATCTCTGCTTTTGGAGACTCCATCCATCTGGTTGCTCAGGACAACACCCTGGAGTCATCTCTGACACTTCTTCTTCTTTTTATTTATTTATTTATTATTAGCCATCTAGGATTTGTTTTCTTTTCTTTCTTTCTTTCTTTCTTTGCACTTTATCGCCCATGGTAGAGTGCCATGGCATCACACAGCTCACAGCAACCTCCAACTCCTGGGCTTAGGTGATCCTCTTGCCTCAGCCTCCCAAGTAGCTGGGATTACAGGCGCCTGCACAACTCTGGGCTATTTTATTGTTGCAGTTTGGCCAGGGCTGGGTTTGAACCCAGCACCCTTGGTATACGGGGCCAGCGCCCTACCCACTGAGCCACAGGCGCCATCCTATCTTTGACTCTTCTCTTCCTTTCTTACCCCATACCATTCCAGGAAGCCCTGCAGGCTCTACCTTCACAGCCTGCCCACCACATGCTCTCTCCTCCACCACTGCCTCTGCTTACGCTGCTGTTGCACATCTCCTGAGTTGTTAGAGCGGCCTCTTCATTGTCCTTCCTTCTTCCATTTGTGAGCCTTGTAGTTGATTTTCCTCACATAGTGCAAGGGATTCTGTTTTACTTCAGTCAGACCACTGTCACTATTCTATTTCACTATTTTTCATGGTAGTCAGGGAAGTCCTTACTGAAAACAGGGATTCTTAACAAAAACCTAAAGGACGAGAGTCCAATCAGTTTTGGGTTCCAGAGAAGCTTTAAAGAAGGGGTCCCCTTACCTGCCAGGAACTGGTTGGAAACAAGGCCAGCAGGACAGTATGAAAATGGGGCTCCATTTATATTCTGAGGCTTAAGTATAGGCAGGAATAAGCAAGGAGAACTTATTCACAGAAAATATTCACTTCTGTGCCCAATACCTGCCAGCAACTCCTCATCTAACACAGAGTAAAAGCCAAAGTCTTCTCAGAGCTCTAAGATCATCTCCTCCTACACTCTAGCCCCATCAGCCTCCTCGCTGTCCCTTGGATGTGCCAGGTGCATCTCTGCCTCAGGGCCTTTGCACATGCTGATCCTCTAGCCCGTAGCCCTTATCTCCCAGTGATCCCCATGGCTTACTTCCTTTACGTTTTTGTCAAGAATCCCTGTTTTCAGTGAGGATTTCCCTGACTACCCTACTTAACTTTTACTGCCCCCACCCTTGGCACCCCTATTTCTTTTTCTTGCTTTTCTTGTCTTCATTGCACTTGCCATCATCTATCGAGATTCATATTTTACTTATTTTTTGTCTAGCTTCCCACTGCTAGAAGCTTCTTGAGTATGGAAACTACAAATGAGAAAACAATCTTCATTTACGTTACATGATGGCAACACATTCCAGAATTCATCGGAATCAATGTCCTTCCTGTAGGAGACATTCAGTTCCAGTGTCCAGCTCAGTAGTTTGCTCTTTAGTTGAATTCATTCTGCTCTTTGGCCCTTCTTTGAAGATTTTTATTCCCCAAATCATGGACATTATCATTTCAGAATTTATAATTTTCATTTCAAAATCAAGTTCTTCTTCTAACTGCCTATTCTTGTTTCCTACTTTCCATTTTCTGTTTCATTGGTGGAATCATTTCTTTTATCTCTTAGAGGATATTAAACGTGCTTTCCTTGTTTGTTTGGAGACTCATTCCCTGAGAAGATGTCACATAACGCCAAGTCATCATCATGCCTTGGAGAAAAACAAGGCAGGGTAAGGGCAGAGAGTGAGGGGGGCTACTTGAGGTGGGGCAGTAAGGAAGACCTTTCTGTGGAGGTGACATTGGAAAAGACCCCAATAAGTGACCAAAAAAGGCACACAGCTGCCTAGAGAAAGAACATTCCAGGCACAGGGAAGAGCATGTACAAAGGTCCTAAGTGGGCGTGTGCTTGTATACTCAAGGCATAGGGAGGAGGCCCAGGGGCTGGGCGTGGTGAGAGCGAGTGGGAAGAAGTGAGTGTACAGCAGTTATTGGGCCAGAACATACAAATCCTTGTAGGGTTTGAGGAGAAGAGTGACACAGTGTGACTTGTATTTCAAAACAGGCTCCCTGGCTGCTGTGTGGAGAACAGGCTGAAAGGGGCAGGTGTAGAGGAAAGGTGTCCCCAGGGGCTGTTGGGGTAACCCAGATGAGCAATGATGAGAGGTTTAGTACCTTAGGGTAGATGAAGAGAAGGGCTTGGACTGGGAGTATACTGCTTAGCTTTGGGTTAAATATGGGGCCCTGAGGGGAGGCAAAGGCTAAACCTATGGGCAGGTGTGTGGAGGATGGAGCCATTTACCCAGATGGAGAACACTGGGGAAGAAGCAAGTTTTTGAGGGAAATAAATCTTTTGGCTTTGGATGTGATGAGATCGACA